CAACTGTCTCCAGAGCTGGGCCTTGATTTCAGGCCAAGCCTTTTTAAATAACCCACCCCTGGGTGGAGGATCCCGCACTTAGCACTTGACGTTCCTTTGATAGGCAACATTAAAATCATGTACAAAGTATATTTTCAAGCATTACTAACCACTTCTAAAATAGTCCTTGTTTTTTAGACTCTTCCTTCCTTTCTTCACCCTCTGCTGTTTTTCTCTTAGCTTCTACTGGAGCCAAAGGTAACAGAGGGACTGACTTGCTGGTTCTCTACCAACATAAACAACCACCAACTTGGGGAGGCAGCGGCCTTCTGGTGCACACATGACACGGAACCAGCAGGGGGCGAGCATCCCCTGATTATTCTTCCATTAGCTTCTTATAGCCTTGGGTGACAAAAACAGGCCACTCCTCAGATACAAATGGACCCAACAGCCTTGCAGTCACAATCTCAGGATGTGGAGTCAGAAGACAGGCCTGGATCTGAATCCCATTTCCAATTATCAGATGGCTGTCTGATACCGGGCAAGCTAATTCATAAGGATTAAATGAGATAATGCATAGCATTGGCACACACAAATAACATTTAAAAGCTGTTGGCTAACATCACTCCTGGTAGAAGTAACAGGACCGTGAAGTCTTTAGTGATGGCAATAATGAAATATGCAATCAATCAAAGACGTGAGTTTCAAGAAATGCTGGCTCCAAGGGCAGCAGTCCCAGGCGGAGGAGGAAGCAATCGAGGTTCTTGGCTTTGCTTCATACCTAGGACATAGGTATGCAGTTGTGTCTTCTCTCGGAGATCATAAAGGACACTGGCTCTGAGCTGGCTGCCACTAGCTCCAAGACAGCAATCTCTCCAAGCTTTTCTGTAGAAGGGAACAGAACTAGTCCCTCACAGAGAGTGTGACAAGCATTACAAGACTCACTGCTCCCGGCTAGTCGACTTCTTTCTTTGTTGCCCACAATACCTACTATCTCTCTTCCACTTACACAACAGAAAACAAAACAACCTAGTAACTCCATGATCCCAATGAGCTTAGGCCACCAACAATAGAGAAGAAATGTATCATGTAAGTATGTATCTGCCTGCAGTGAAGATTTAGAGAATCCAAAAGTGAAGTTTAGATTGTTCAGCGCCCTTTCATTTATTAGTCACTTTTTTGTCTTCCTTATTAAATCAATAGCTTAATATTGATTCCTAAATTTTAACTATAGCATATCCAACTTTTTTAAAAAAATGTACCAGCTGAATATTTTAGATGGCTTTAATTTTTCTATCAATGGAATGAAAATATAGTAAATGAATGTCCAGGGAGTCACAAAAAAATCTCAAAGCCAAAGAAAGCATCCACACATTTTAGCACAGCCTTGGTCCTGAGGTACTATTCCGTTACTGTAAGAGCACTAGAGATTTGCTAAGTCAAGAATGCATTATATGATGAGAGACTGGTGCCTGAGAATGTGTCAAAAGCTGTCAATAATTTTGATAATTCTCCCTCATTTCAATTAGTCAACCAACCACGACTTTCTTCTAGCAGTAGAACCACCCTTCAGGCTCTCATATTTCCACTAAAACCAAAGACATACCCTATTTCTGACTTGTCCTGTACTCATTCGCATACTTTTAACTCATTTGTGTTCGACTGCAAAATAAACGCTCATAACATCAAACTACGAGAAGCGATATCCACAACTGAGATTAAGGTTGTAGAAAAATAATTTCATAGTAGTATGATGGTTTTGATCGGCAATATTTGATGTCATTTAGTATCATAATGCAAAGTCATAAATATCAACATACATATTAGATGGTATCACTGTTTTCAAAGATTTCCAATTCAAGGAACTTCCAATTGTGAGGAAGGTCTGTTATCTCATATTAGCAATCACCATTACTTGGTTGGCTCTCTGTATCCATGGGTTCTACATCCTCAATTCAACCAACTGCAGATTGAAAATACAACCCCCAAACAACATCTGTCCTGGCATGGACAATTTTTTTTTTCTTGTCATCATTCCCTAACAATTAAAGAGCTACTTACATAGCACTGACAGGTATTAGATAATATAAATGGCCTAGAGATGATTCAGAGTACAGGAGGTGCATGCCAGTTATATGCATATCCTCCTCCTCCATTTTACACAGGGGACTGGAGTAGCTGTGGGTTCTGGCATGCCCCATGGAGGCAGACCCCATGAAGGTCTACACATGTACTTTTTGCATGGTGGTTTGCCTTCTCTAACAGCGTGGGCTCCAGACAGTAAGAATTTAGTTTCCATTGCTGCTGGGTCCCCAGGGCCTGAAACACTGGTTGGCAAGTAGTAGTTCAAAAGGCTCCAATCTCTCCTGGCTCCCAACTCATAAATAGAATAATTATTTCCTCAAGGGGCCCAAGGGTGTTGACTCACACCAGCCCTTCCATTTATTTAAGTACCTTTGAAATCACTTGTTGGGGACTTAAATATTTAGCCAACTTTTTTCTTTTTTAACTAAACAAAAATTCTAAATCTAGTTTCAACATTCAGATTGGTAGGTATCATTCTAAACATGCATAAAATACGTATTTCTGGACACTGAAATTTGGTGAGCTCTGGAATTATTAAAATAGTCACCAATTTCATTTATTGCTTTAAATACTTCAGATTCATCATCTCTAGAATGTTCTAGTGCCTTACTCTTTCCTTGTCCAATCCTCCACCTCTCAGCTTGAGGGTCACATCCTCTAGCAGGCCTGGTCTGGTCCCTCACTCAGGCATTTCGTACCCTGCCTTCCTAGCAGCCACCAAATGTCACAGAGCTCTCCCATGTAACTGTCTATCTTGCACCAGGCACTACATCCCACCAGGGCACAGGCTGTGGCTCTCTGAGCGGTAGCGGCCCCTCTTCTCTGCAGCCCCTTCTCCTTGTAGATGCATGTGAATTTGGATAGAACAGACTGAAGGAATCTGTCAGCGGTTCAAAAATGTCAAGGCCAACAACACAACTAGGAATAAAAACAAGATCCACAACTGGAGAACGTAGCAAAAAGAAGGGGGTTACCAGATTCTCCTCTAATTAAAAGAATATATATTTTTTTGATGGTGATGAAAGATTCATCACCATTTTACCAGGGGTGAAATCATCTTGGGGCTTTTACTTCCAAGCACCTTAGAGCACTGTCCTTAAAAAAACATAAATGACCATATGCAGAAAGAGGGAGGGGGGAGGGGGAAGGGAGGGAGAGGGAGAGGGAGAGATAGATAGATAGATAGATAGATAGATAGATAGATAGATAGATTGATTGATTTGCTTGGAGAGGCAATATTTGAACTGAACAGGAAATTTAAGAGACTTTCTAAATAGGAAGGCTTTGTTTGGGGCCTCAGTTTCTATCTGTAAAACGAAGCCAACAGAACCTACCTCATGGGGGGGCTGTGAAGGCAGAAGGCAAGGATGAAAGACAAAGCACCAGGTGAACACCAGGGAGTCACACAAACATGCGTCCTAGCAGCCAAAGAGGGCCAAAGCCCAGCCTTCCATCAAAGAGCCAAGAAGAGGAAGCCTAGGCCATGAAGGTTATCCTTCTTTTGATTTTTATTTTAATGCCCCCATGTACATGGATTTTAACCCCCAGCACCACTTGTCTTCCAAAAGCACCCAGCTCTTGGAGAAGAGTGATCCTGTGGGCCTTCTTCTGTCCCTGGTCCCACTTCCCTGATGGGCTCAATGACCTACTTTACATCTTTTTTCCTTATTTTTCCCCTAACGTAGAAGCAATTCTATTTTTCCACCAGCGATTAGGGTTTAGGATTCATGGATGGGGACATCAGTGGGCCACACATGGGTTTGTCCTGTCCCTGCTCTGGTGATGGCTGCCAAGTCCCTCTGGCCCACAGCATCTCCCTATGCACCCACCCATGGGAGCCTTCCCACCTAGCTAGAACACAAACTTTCCTGGGAAGGCCCTTCCAATTGCTCAGGATCTTGGTTATTTAGCACGGACTGTGACTGCTTGCATGACATATTTTCCTGATAGAATGACAGCAGCATTGGCAACACATATCGAGCCCGGGACGTACATGCTTTTGGTAGCCCCCGAGATGGGTGGGAGGGGGAGAGGGAGAATGCAGAAAGGAATTGGTGAGGATCCCAAAGACAAACTCCTGATTCCTTTGATTTCTGCTTTGGACTCACCCACACACAGATGCAAGGCTTATAAGCACAGCCAAGGAGTGGGTGTGGAGAAAGGGTACAGGGCTCGTGGGGTGGAAAGGAAGGGAGGATCACATATGTATGGGAAACGATGGGATGATGGGTACAAGATGGGGCGGGGAGAGAAAGATGACAAATAGAGTCCAGATGCCAGTGGTACTGGTATTTACAATATTAAAATGCACTGCATTCTATGTGAGGCTGTTCAAAAGTACCACTTTGTGACTTTTCCTTCAGGAGATAACAACTTGCTATTTTGAGAAAACACAGCCTTGGAAAAGTAGTGTAGAATGACTACTTGGACTTGAGAATTTTAAAGACTTGAGTTTGAATCTTTGACCCATGGATTCAACAAGGTAACTTTGGAGAAGTTGCTCAGCCTTTCTGTTTCCTCATGTGCCAGGCGGTACTCCCCTCACGGTGCTTCTACAAGATAAAATGTGACCAGATACCTAAATACCTTCGCACAGTGCCCGCCACATGGCAAGACTCAATAAATGTCACCTGGTGTTAAATTTTACTAGGCACAAGAGCCTATAAAGGGCTGTCCCTCCAGCTTAAGTATTCCCCAGAGAACTATGGTGTAAGCAGCAATAAACACCCAGCTCTGGAGTTCTACCACTTGCCAGGAGGAATGCCCTTCTCCTAGAGGGGAAGTTGCTGGGCTGCTCCAAGTTGGCTTCACACAGCGCATCAATCTGACAGGTACCAGGGAAAGAGAAGGACAAAAGACAGAGCTGAGCGAGAAGATGAACAAGATGGAGACGCAAGTAAGTCCTGGATCAAGACACACCTCTGGGGAGCACTCACCGAGTCTGGGTCTCGCTGTTGTTCAAGAAAAGCTGAGAATTCCACCAGGCGAAGCTTGGTTGTGCCAATGGAACGCCCTTGCCAGGCAGGGACCGAGGGAGCTGGGGCTGACGTAGGCTCAAACCCTGAAAGACCAATGGTCACCTTTACACCTGGCCATTGGCTTCCCCCAGACCTCAGGATGGTACTGGGGCAGGACTCCACAAAATGTGATCTAGAAGGAAAGGCCGAGAGTGTCCTCCCACCCAGGTCTAGGGGGCAGAATTCAGCTGGGCAGGGGTGACATTCTGGCTGAGGCTCTCATAGCAGTGACCAGCTGGACAAGCATAATACAAGAAGCCACATTTAGCGAAGGGGTTAAGGACTGTGGCAGAGGACTTCAAATCCTGGATAAAGGGGCTCAGCTAGAGACCAAGCTAAAAATGGCTGACAATTCCAAGGGAATGTTTTCAAAGACATCCTGGGAGACAGGCTGTGCTGTGTTTACCCATCTTTGTGGGTAACATCTTTTCTTTTCGTAATTTTTTTTTAAGTTGTAGATGGACAAAATACCTTTACTTTATTTACTCACTTTAATGGGGTGCTGAGGATCGAACCCAGTGCCTCACACATGCTATGCAAGTGCTCTATCACTGAGCCACAATCCCACCCCCCATCTTCTTTGTTAAGACTGTTGTGGCCAGCACTTTAGAATCTTCCCTCAGGGTGCCCCACAGTGTTGGAGCAGAGGACAATGTGTGGATACATTTTTGGTGTGGGGCGTCTATGGTGTTGAGCAATGATTTTTGTACCACACCACAAGTACTTCTCAACTATGTGCACACGGCGGTGGGTAGTGGCGGCAGCGGGGTAGAGAGGGGGCCAACCAGATTTGTTTACTACTTTTGGTTTCTGTGCAAGTGCTCCTTCACAAAAAGTGCAGCAGAAATTGAAATCTATGTATCTACGAAAGGGCAAGGAAAACTATCTGTGCTGAGGATGTGGATGGCCCAACGCAGCCAGTTCATGGTGAGGAGGGACAGGCATCAACGTCCTCTTCTGAGGATGAGCTAGCATCTTCAGTGAAAGTGGTCAGGCTTCCTGTTTTTCACAAACCCATCTGAAGAGCTCTTGGGAGATGACTGAAGCTATTTGGGACTAGGCGGGGGGACTCCCCTGTGACCCTCCCGAGCTCCATTCTGATCCCTACCCTATAGGAGATGGGACTGCAAGGGGCAGGCAAGTTTCCACGGGTGACAGGAAATTTACAGCGGTGGCAAAGAAGAGCATCACCCCTCTTGAGAACAGGCCTGGCCATTGGTTGTGGAGGCCACTGTCTCCCCGAGGAGGGAGAATGGGGAGACTCACCTGGAATGGGGGCTGTGACCGCTGGCTGGATGGGGTAGGCCTGCTGGACGAAGGGCTTGACGCTGGGGACAAACAGGTGCCAAGAATCAGAAATCATGGAAGCAGTAGTGGCCCCTACCCAGGCCTGGCCTTGGCCTCCCAATGGGGACCCCCCACACTAGTCCCTGCCTGTGGGGAGCCTGCTGAGGATCCAACCACCAGGCCTTGTGCCAGTTCAGTGGCACCTGCTGGACAGACGTCAGCCTGACTCTTGTGCACTGTGACATCTGTCTCTGAACCTCTCTTCGTCCCTAAAAAACAGAGGTCAGCAGTCACTGCGTCTAGGCAAGGTTTAGGACATGCTTCAGGCTCTCCTTCTTCAGGCCAATAAAGTTCTCTTAATGTACAGGTTGGATTTGCCTCTAGCTTTTAGCCCCAAATTGCCCTTATCCTCTGGTTGACTGAGCCTGCTTCCCTTGCCCCCGAGGCATCTGTAGGATTTTTCTATTAGACAGACATCCCCTACACACATGCATCACACAGGCACTACCACTGGGCAAGCAGAGTGGAAAGGGCTACAGAATCACCTCTGCTGCCCTCTTACAGGCAAGGAAGGCCCATGCTCTGCCCTCCAAGGCCATAAAGGGACAAGGACCCATTTCCTATTCCTAAAGCCATAAAGGGACAGGAACCCACTTCCTATTCCATCTGTAAGACCTCCACACAGAAGTGATGGGCTTACACTTCTTCTGAATCCGAGAGGTCATGACTAAGGATGGCAGTTAACTCTCCTTTCTCTGCAAAGCCCAGAGGTACCCTGGTAACCCTAACCCTGCTGTCTGTGGCCCTCTTGAGACTTACTCTTGGGAGGATCCTGGCTGCCCTGTTTGTATCATTCCAGGCCAGAACTGGAAGACAAAAGGCAAAGGCTTCAGGACCGCGAGTTCACAGGACGCAAATGCACTGCAGCCCCTGCTGAAGGGCAGCAGGTTCAGTCACCCACCAGCAGCAGCATCACCTCCCCAAGTGCATATGTGGTCATCACTGTCCCTCAACTGCCACCCAGGACTCCCCCAGCACCTCTGTCCTGAAAAATCCTTCTGAGGGAAGGGGACAAGTGGCTGCTCTTCAGAGCTTTTGTGCCACTCAACAGAGCACTGGGTGGGACCACTTTGCCCATGCATGCACCCAATCTTCCTCTCCCTCTGCTCTGAAGCACTCCCTATGTACTACTCTGCCTCCGTGATTTCCGGCACCCAAGCCCCGGTGGAGCAGTGGATCAAGCTTGCAACAAGAGGGCCAGGAGCTCAGAGAAGAAACAGGGCAACTGCTTTGCTGCCGGCGTCCCTGAGGCCTTCTGCACCTCCTATTCCCCAGCCCAAGGCATCATGAGATAAAGGGAAAAGGCAGCCTCTGGCACCGCAGAGCCCTGGAGCTGAATCCAGGCATCACTGTGCATCTGCCTGTGACCTAGCTCTTGTCTTGCTACTTAGCAACCTCAGCTTTCTCATCTGTAAAATGGCAATGACAGCAAGAGGCATTTATGACTGTAAGGTTCAACGAGATTATGACATAATGCTTCTCAGCCCTTGGTAGGTGTCGAAATGAAAAGACCAAGGGAATATGTTGTCCCTTTTGGGACTAGCTCACACAGTGACCCTGAGGTCACAGGGACAGGACCATGGACCAGGAAAGAGTGCAGAAGAGGCAGGTTGCATCAGAAAAGTGATATTTACTTCCACATCTGCAGGGACTAAGGATTTCCTCTCTCCCCCTCCTGCCTCCCACCTGCTTTTGCTCTTCCTCCACTCCTCCTCACTATCTGCTCTCCCTCCCTTCCTTTCTCTTACCACTTTGCACCCAGCATCTCAGTTCACCACAAGGTAGTCTTTATCCTTTTTATATTTGACCCAATTGGCAAGAAGTGCCAGGAGGAGGAGGCCGGCCCGCACCCACCCGGCGTCCAGAGCAGCTCTCCTTCCCAGACCTGGCTGCTGACTTACCCCCGGTGCCCCTGGGAAGGTGGGGCGTGGAATCCCAGGCAGCCCCAGCTTGTTGTGAATGGCAGTGGCGGAGACGATCTGCGCTGATGACATGGCTGCCATGTGCTGCAGGGCCTTGTCCTTTGCGGTCTGATCCTTGAAGGTGACAGTGACACACTGACTTAATACAGAATGCACGGCTACCAGGCAGGTTAGACAGCCACAGCCACGAGCACATGGACTAAAATACAGAGCCACAAAAGAGGCCGAGAAAGCAGACATGCATGGATAAATGAACACGGCCAGGAGGCTAGAACGCGCTCCACTACCGAGACGCTGAACACTCGCGGAAAACACCCAGTGGAGAGGTGTTTTTTTTAAAAATCTGAATCCATTTTCTAACAGAACGGGGAAGCCTTTGAGAAGAGTAGACAATGTATTTATTTTTTCAGCTTCCAGAAGGAGATTTCTCCAATTACTTAACACACTAGGGGAATCCGGTGGGAGAGGCCCTGCTTTTAAGTACACAGATGAGGGGAGCAGAGAAGAAATGTGCCATAAACTGGGGGCAGGATCATCCAGAGAGCGTGGAGAGCCTGTGTGTGTGCCGGCTGTCACAGGGCCACAGTCCCAGGAGCTGCTGGGGTCATGCGAGGCCGGGGAGCCCTGGCAGACACCTGGTGGGGATAGTTCAGAAGCAGCGGGGTGGACAAGGGGGACCAGCCAAGCAGCATGCTGGCGGGGCGCATGCTTTCTCGAGTATCCCCGCCGTGGGTCTAAGGCTACATGGCTTCTTACAAAAGCTCAGGAGGTAAGGGACACTACAGGTGGGTGGTTTCTCCTTTTCCCAAATGAGTTTTTCTAGAAAAGCCAAGACTGGTAACACAAAGCTAGCCAAAAAAAAAAAAAAAAAAGTCTGCCAAGCACAGCTAAAATACAGAATACTCAGTTTGGTGAAAATACTTACCATGCTTGTTACCTGGATACAACAATAAACAATTTGTTAAAAGGATTGCGTACAAAGGCAGGATTATTTTTCTTCTTCAGTTAAAAAAATATATATGTATACAAATACAACACTTGGATACAATAAAATGTAGAGGAGCATTGGCATTCCCACCCCTCGCCATACCTTAGGAGAAATGTATAATCTACATGGCTATCTAGAAAATCCATCACCAACAAGAGTGCCCAACAACAATCAAAAAACTTCCCCCCACTCCTTCATGCTGGTCCTATGCTTCCCCAGGACAGAAGGAGCAATGGCGACAGGCCCCCACTGCTGCTGGCAGGGCTGCACTACGTCAGCACGTGAAGGTTCCGGGCTGTAGGTAGAGGGTCTATATACCAGTACCAGAAGCCATTAAAGCAGAAATAAAATGGAAACACCATAATCAAGGGTGTGCCTCCACAGCTGCCGTTCAGAATTCATAGTGAGGGATGGTCCACCGGGAAGCTGCAGGCTGAGACGCTGAGTGCCAGCTGAGAGGCAGCTTCCATGTTTACATATCTCACCAGAGGTGAGGAATAAACACGTTGTGGAGCCAAAGGCAAGGTCAAGAGGACACTGAAGAAATCAGAGCCTACAAGCACCTCCCTGGCTTGTATGAAGCTCTGGGTTCCATTCCCAGCACCAAATAAACAAAAACCAAAAATTAAACAACTTTAGGGGCTTCTAAGAAAGACCTGCTAGGTACTGCCAAGGTATAGACACAACTCTGCCCCATAATCACCAAGAACACCATGTGAATTTTTCAAAATGCTCATATTAATCCTTGAAAAAGAGGAGGGATGGGGGGAAAGAGGAAGAAGAAAAGTCTAACACTTGCATGAATTTTTATATTTCATATATTTCTGTGGCCCACAACTGAAAAACTAAAAAGCTGCAAATATAGCCTTTCAGAAGTGTGCATGGTCATTATGAACATCTGCAATGGCACCTGCTGTAGCTAAATGACACTGTGCAGCCCTGGAAGCTTGCAGGATTACTAGTCCCCATGGGAATGGACCCCGGTGACTCAGAGTGTTGCCTGTTATCTCTTCTCATCATATGGCATCCTTCCAGGTAAAGCTCCATTTGCTAACTCACCAAATGCTCTCACCTGAAGCCAGCTTCCTCGAGTAACTTTTTTTTTAAGTTAAAACAAACAAACAACAACAACAAAGAACACCTAAAACATCTCACATTGTGAGAATAAGAGGGGAAAAAAAAAAGTCTTGAAGTTGATGAAATTTTATAATAAACTGACTAGGAGTGTGCACATGCCCTAGAGCTGAACTGGGCCCAACAGAGATGGATGTCAGTGTCTGTCAATCCACTTTTAAATGTCCTGTGGCTTCATCTGCTCCCTGGCCCATCCAGTCATACCTACTCCATTCAGAGGAAGAATACCTTGACATCAACCCACACATGTTGGTTTCTCTTTGGATCAGTCACTTTGGACTCTAGCCCCCAAGCCTCTTAACCCCTTATAAGAAGTTACAAATGCTTTCAAAGTGATTTCTGAAACTGAGGTAATGGCACAGGTGTAACCACAGGCGCCTTCCTCAGCCCACAACATGCCCTGCAACTTCTCTGGGGCCCAAGCTAGGGGAGCTTGGAAAACAGCAACCTGGACAACTTCTCTCCACCTGACTGATGTGAATTCTGAAGACTGACAAACTATAAATAAAGAGCTGTGGGCTTGGATCTATTCCAAAAAAAGGTCCCAGGGCCTCTTACAGACATGCGTGGTCTGTGTTTATGCTGGTGACAGGGATTCTTCTTGCCCAACTACAAGATGTTTGGCATACTTGGGTGAGGAAACTTACAAATAGAAAGTCCAGGTCCAAGTGTAAAATAGTTCTCTGTATCTCCATAACCCTTCTCTATTAAGGGTTCCATGAGATGGTTCCCTTTGCTTGGCTTACTGAAAAGCTCTTGAAAATTTTCACAAAAGCTCATCTTGTTTGCACCAGGGAAATCAGTCAGTGTGGGAAAGAAGAAAAGTATCTTTGCTGTGTGTGTCACACAGCTGCAGAACATGGATGTTTTGCTTTTGTTTAAAGTTTGACTCTCTCATTACGCAGCATTTCACCAGGTACTTAATGAAAACGAGAGTTCAAAAGCAGGTGGGCAATCACTTTGACCACATCCACATGCTCTCCGATGGTGAAGGGTGCACCTGCTAGGGAAATGACATAAATGGGCTGGGTTACCTAGGACAAGTCATTTCACACCATGAGATTCTCCTCATCTACAAATCAAAAAGATGCATTTTATTCTCTAATGGTTCTAAAAGTATGTTTACCTAAGAGAGTACATTCCCTTATAAACAAATACATCTAAATACATTTAGCCACAACAACAACAAAAAATACTAGTGTGAGGACAGGAGATGTTAACATTTAGGCAGCTCTTGGCTGCCTATCCTAATAGAGAGAAAGCCAAGTGTGGAATGGAAATTTCACCTCAAGTAGTGGTTCTTTCTGCACTTGACCTACCTATTGGAGAATAGGCAATTTTCTGCAAATGGACTAAAATGTCTATGCCAGTGATTTCCTACCTTTTGTAGTGGATCTGCTCTGTTCATTTAATTTTATAGCATCAATCCTTTATCTATGATATAGATGTGAAAATTAAAAGGACTAATTTTTTTTGTTTAAAATCTAAAGTAACCCTGGAGATGGATAATAAGCACAGCCAGGGCTACCTGGAAATGAGAACCAAGAGGTTCGCTGCAGACCCACTTATCCTGAAAGGGGAGTTTGGAGGATGCCGGGCTAAGAGATTCAATGGATGGATCTCTCAATTGTCATTTTCAGCCAGAGACACATGCCTGGCTTCGGAAAATTTATAACTGTAAGTGTCAGACCCCAGTAAATAGCTTCCCTCTGTCACTCTAGTCTTACATCCCAGCCTTTTACACATTCAACTTTATCCTTTCCTCTTGTCATCCCGTTAAGGGGAAAGGGATTAATCTATTCAATAAGTAAGGTTTTAAGAACATCTAAAAGTGTATGCTACATTGAACTCCAAATTAATTTTATCTTGAGATGTATTCACACCAACATTTCTGAGATGTGGATGAGATTTGAGAAGGATGAGCCCATGGTATTTATCTTGAAAATCTGCGATTAAGTCACTACAGAGTTAGAATCCCCAGTGTCCGAGATTACAGGAAATACTCTTTGAGTATCGTGTGTGTACATATGTGAGCAAGGGAAGAAAACTGTGTGCTAGAAAAAGGCTTGGACAAGTTCACAATGCCTCCTCCTTACTGATTTCTAGACCCTCTATTCTTAAGATTACAAAGAATAAAGCCACAAAAAAGATAAATGGGAACTGAGGAAAGAAATGGCAAGTCACCATCTTCCAGATCAACCCTAACTTGATGCCTTGATCTGCAATCCGAGAAACACTTAAGGGCAGAAATTGTGAATCTTTAGACTGCTGATAGGAAAGTGGGTGGGCTGTACTTCTAAGCACAAGTGGTCCAAGCGACCTGAGAATGAGGGCAGATGAAGCACTCTGTCCAGGGTGCGTGTCTCATTACCGACCCTACTTTCTTCACAATCCAATTTCTGGTTCACAGGGCCATCAATGGCCTCACTGCCCCGGCCTCACGGTCCAGCAGGCTGTGGTCAGACAGAAACTCCTCAGCCTGAAGCTTTTCAAATTGTTATTGTTACTAAGTAAACAGGCTTTCATATTTCATGAAGCAGAGCAGGGCTGCTGCTCTGCCTGTTCCCCGACAGCCTCCTTCTGCAGTACTGCAGTGGACACAGGGTTTGGAAATGCCTGCATGGAACCCAGGTGACGGCTCTCCCACAAGGATCCACGACAGGCAGGCGCAGGCATGTGCTCTCAGAACAACAGGACATCTTAGGGATCAGACTGGATATTAGGAGGGTCTTATCCTCCCTTCTCCTCCCTGCTTTCCCAGCTTCTGATTATCCTGCAATATCAATTACCTCATACTCTTTAGGCATTAATCATAGACAAATTTTAAAGGTAATATAAAAAGGTCACAAGCTTGCATATACAAGATATCACAGCTGCCATATATGGAATGTTAATGAATAGCATACTAAACCAGCGTATCCAAACAGTTTATTCGTGGGCCAACATTTCAAAGTTTAAAGATTCCAATTAAATTTATTCATATGGAAGCCAACCAACATATCAGGAAAAACATATAAAGAAAAAAAAAACTATGAATTTGAAAATTCTTGATATCTATGAAATGTTTGCCTCAAGGGCTGGGAATCTGGCTCACTGGGAGAGCACTTGCCTATCATGCACAATGCCCTGAGTTCAACTCCCAGCAACACAGGGTAGCAGGTGGGGGTGGGAGGTCATTCCAAAACTACATTTGGAATATACAGTAATATAAAACCAAATACAGAAGTATGATGCAAGTTTGCTTGAAAAATCACCTTTTTCAGAAAAAGATAAAAAATATTTCCCTAAGAAGTAATTTTTTCTAACCTTGTGTTATGCGGATTGACATGCCCTCTGCAATTATCAGCCATAACCCTGGCGCAGATAAACATCACTAAACTATATGATGGTTTTAGAGAAAGGACGGAGGGCACTTGAATTTTTTCTAGCCATGATCTCTAATTTGCTTATTATTAGAGAAGGCAGGAGTAAATACAAAAGGGGGCTATTCTGGTCAGGCAGCCTCTAATGTGGAGGAGAGAAGCCACATTCATACTTCTCCTGACTTGCCGCCTAATGAGTAGCAATTAATTCATCTTATTGTATTTCCAAATGCCAAAGACTCCATTCACATCAAAGAAAAAATTTTCAAGGCTTTTACCATTGTTCATTTTTAAATATACTGAGCTATATTTAGTATTTTATAATTGTTAACAGCGGTTCTTTTAATTCTGATGTGGGGCTTAGTATCATAAAGGACCTCAGAGGAGGAGACTGGTAGGTGTGCCTTATGGCCTTCCAGGAAGGATGCCACGGACGACAAGCTTTGCTTCAGA